GTGCTGAATAAACATTTATGTAATGTATTATCTGTCCTACCCTTCTCCCTCACTTATACATTTCTTTCTTTCTTTCTTTCTTTTTTTTGGGGGGGGGGTCCAGTCGTGGGCCTGAACTCTGGGCCTGGACGCTGTCCCTCAGCTCTTCAGCTCAAGGCTAGCGCTCTACCACTTGAGCCACAGCGCCACTTCCGGCTTTTTTCTTTTTGCTTATGTGGTGCTGAGGAATCGAACCCAGGGCCTCAGGCATGCAAGGCAAGCGCTCTACCACTGAACCATCTTCCCAGCCCACTTATAAATTTCTTATAGAATAAAAATCTTTTCTATCTTTGCTTTTGTGTTCCCAACACCTAGATTGAATCCTAAATATAGAAAATATTCAAATGATATTATAATTAGGATGTAATGATAGTTCTGGAAATCTTCAATTTGTACTCTTATTTCATGTTCCTTTTCTAAGGCTTCAAGGTGCTCTAGCCCTGTTACACTGTAGAAGTCTAATCTATAGGATACTATCCTGAGCTGCTTTATGGGCAGAGATTCTATTCTGATCAAGTACTATATGTCAGTTTGCTGCACTTTGTCTTAAAATCCTTCCCCTGGCCTTCATTTCTAATTCTAGTTACCTTGGCTAAAGTATATGGCCAAAACCAATCAGGGAAAACGAACTTCTCTACTATCAAGGATATGGCCTTGTACATACAGCTCAGTAATAACGACACAGAGGAAAGACAGTATATTATTACATGACAAAACTGTTGCTAAAATTAAAAAGTCATTAACACAATGAGAACAATCTTTATGAACAACCAAAATGGAAGTCTGGTGAGGTGGGTTGAGTTCTTACTTCAAGTAAGAACTATTCAATTAATTTTAACATTCTCCAAATTTCTATTCTAAGAAGAGGAAATAGATTCAATGCTGTTCTATCCAATCAGATGTATGTATAAAGGGAAGTGATAAGAATGTACTTCTAGGGCTGGGAAGGTAGCTCAGCGGTAGAGTGCATGTCTTGCAAGCATGAGGTCCTGAGTTCAATTCCTCAGCACCACATAAACAGAAAAAGCTGGAAGTGGCGCTGTGGCTCCAGTGGTAGAGAGCTAGCCTTGAGCTGAAGAGCTGAGGGACAGCGCCCAGACCCAGAGTTCAGGCCCCATGACTGGCAAAAAAAAAAAAAAAAAAAGAATGTACTTCTAGGGCTGGGAAGGTGGCTCAGTGGTAGAGCGCTTGCCTTGCATGCCTGAGGCCCTGGGTTCAATTCCTCAGCACCACATAAGCAAAAAGAAAAAAGCCGGAAGTGGCGCTGTGGCTCGAGTGGTAGAGCGCTAGCCTTGAGCTGAAGAGCTGAGGGATAGCGCCCAGGCCCAGAGTTCAGGCCCCAGGATCGGACCCCCCCCAAAAAAAAAAAAAAAAGAATGTACTTCTAGGGCTGGGAATGTGGCTTAGTGATAGAGTGCTTGCCTCGCTTGAATGATTGGATTCCTTAGTACTGCATATAGAGAAAAGGCCAGAAGTAGTGCTGTGGCTCAAGTGGTAGAGCACAGAGCCTTGAGCACAGAAGCTCAGGGACAATGCCCAGGCCCTCAGTTCAAGCCCTATGAATGGACAAAAAAAAAAAAAGTACTTCTAGCTAGGCTTAGTGGCACATGTCTATAATCCTCTGAAGTCAAAGGCAGGAAGATCATCTATTTAAGGGCAGCCTTTGCAAAGGTAGTGAGGCCACATCTTAAAGGCAAAACATAACAAACTCTCATGCTTATAATCCTAGCTACCCAAAAAGCTGACATCAGGGGATTAAGGTTTGAAGTCAGCCTAAACGAAAGTCCTCATTTCCAAAATAACCAGCAAAAAGTCAGGCTAGAGGCATGGCTCAAGTGATAGTGTGCCAACCAATCAAGCAAGCCACATAAGAATGAGACCCTGAGTAAAAGTCCTGGAATCAACAAAATAAAAAAAAAACCCAGAAGGGCTAGAGGTTTAGTTCGAGTGGTAGAGTGCTTGCCTAAGTAGGCATGAGGCTCTGAGTTCAAACTGAAGAGTCAGGAAAAGAATGTACTCCTAAGGTCATTTCTTTCTTTCTTTCTTTTTCCCTAAGGTCATTTCTAGGATTGCAGCCTCAGGCTGCAACATCAGTTCCAAGGGAACCAATGCTGTCTCACTCCAGCACTTGCAGTTCTGCTAGCCCTACCTTAGTATGCGTTGGTTTCTGTGACCTTTTCTGGCTCTTCTGTGCAATCACTTTCATGTTAAAGGTGTGAGAACAGTGAGAGAAGGAAATTAACTCCATGAAAATGGAATACAGAATGTGTGAAATGTGGTTCATGGTTTCAAAGTCAACTGCTATGTGCCACACCCAGGGCAATAGACTGCTCTTCCAGGATGCTTCCTTCGGGCTGGGAAGGTAGCTCAGAGGTAGAGCGCTTGCCTCGCATGCCTGAAGCCCTGGGTTCGATTCCTCAGCACCACATAAGCAGGAAAAAAAAAAGGCCGGAAGTGGCGCTGTGGCTCAAGTGGTAGAGCACTAGTCATGAGCTGAAGAGCTGAGGGACAGCACCTAGGCCCAGAGTTCAGGGCCCATGACCGACCCAAAAAAGTAAATAAATAAAAAATAAAAACCAGGATGCTTCCTTCCTGCAAATTACCACTGTGTTCTATGCCATCAACTTCTTCTGCCTTAACTGTGACAGACTGGAGTTAGAAAAACAGATGGAAATATCTTATATAGCATGTCATAATATAAGGATTCCTGGAGGAGGGGATCTCCTTAGCCACCTGGAACAAGCAAAGGTCAATACCTTAAAAATTTAACAATTTAGTTCTAATATCTACTATATTTGTTTCTGAAGCTTCCAGGATCTAGAATTATTTTGGGCTGAAGGAAAGAAGTCTTGTATCTGGCTTGCTATGTAAATGGAATTGATTTAAAAGTGAAAAAAATAATGGAAGAAATTTTCACTCATTATTTTGGAATAGCATAGTTAGATCAAATAGTCTAAGATCTGGTAGAAAAAAATAACTTCCTGTTTATTTGTTTGTTCTAGGACAGTCTCACTACAGAGCCTAGACCAGTCTTGAACTTGTGATCTCTTGCCTTAGCCTCCCATCTGATGAGATTACAGATGTGTACCACCATTCCCAGCATTTGAGGGAGGGGGAAACAACTTTAAAAATCAGTGCTACATGAATTAGAGGTAGGGCTCAGTCATAAAGCTCCAGCTTAGCAAGTCTTGAGTTCAAATCCCAGTACCTCCAAACAAATTAAAAATAGAACAAGAAAACTAGAATTTATATCCCTTCACATAAGTAATAAATGGGGCTAGTTAAAATGGTAGAGTACTTGCCCAGCATTTGTAAGGCCCTGGGTTCAACCCATAGTACTGGGGGAAAAAAAGTAATGGCAGGGAAGGAAAAAAATCTAGTACTGATAATGATATGTCTATCGTTAGAGCTGCTTAAAAATAATAAAGACGATGCAGTTCTATCTCCACTGCCATTCTAGGACTAGAAATGGGAATTATAGTGAACTCGGGCCAAAATCCACATTCAATATTAAACATTCCAAAGGTGCAAAATATAAAAGAACTAAAAAAATGTGTAGAGCTCTTATTTCATTTGCCCCCCTTCCCCCCCTTCTTTACAGTACTGGAGTTTGAACCTAGAGCCTTGCACTTGCTAAGCAGGTGGCTCTACCACCTTACTGCATTTCCAAAAGACATTTAGTGTTTAATAAATAGCCCCCCCCCCATGAATTAAGTAACTGTGAATTCAAGAAAACTACAAAGTTATATAAATTCGACCCAGCATCACTACAGTGACTGAGGAATAGAATCTTATACAGTTCTTTGGTAAGCCTTAACTGTCTATCCCCACTCTATAGCTAGAAGTCTTTGATTAGCATGGCCTTTGAATTCCGGATCCCATCTTGGGCTTCTCCTACTTAATATCAAGAACAATTTGAATAGGGCGAAAGGGGGAAAAAAATGATTGCATCAGCGCAGCTCCAACCACATACACTCATTAGCTGGTCAGTGAGATCAAGACGCCTGTCTGGCCTCCACCCTCCACCTACTCCTTTGGGGGAGAAGTGGAGAACGAGGGGGGATGATTATGATAGAGATATTTGGGACTCAGGAAACCATGTTCGACCCATTTTCCCTCTTTCTTCTCAGGATGGAAAGTCAAGAGCAGATCAAAGGACAGACGTACGTTTTGCACGGATAGGTGAGGCGGACACTGGAGTCAACACAAGTCATCTGGATGTGGGGACTGTCAGGAAACCTCCCTTTCTTTCCTTCGTGCTCACTCACTAGGAGTCACCTCTGCCTCGGTCACAGGACCTGCCACGCAGACCGTGAGGCAGCGGGGAGCTGTCCTTGCTGCGAAGCTCGAGCCCACAAACCAAATCAGGTATAAAGAATAAGCGTGAGGAAAGGAGAAAAAGCACGGGGCAGGGTCTCTTCCTTCTAGGGGAGAGGGAGCCAGGAAGGGGATTAGGAAGGAGAGAGAGAGAGGGCCGAGGGGGGTAGAAGGAGGGAGGGAGTGGGGGAGAGGGAGCTGGGAAAGGGAGGCAGGAGTGTGTGGGGGGGGGGAGAGCCGGGAGGGGGAGAGGGAGCTGTGAGGGTGGAGGCTGGGGGGGAGGGGTCAGGAGGAGGGAGAGGGAGCTGGTAGAGGGGCCTGGGGGGGGGGGGGAGAGGGAGCGGGGGGCGGGGGGAGATGGAACCGGAAGGGGGAAGATACAGCCGGGCGCGGAGTAGGGAGGAGAGGGAGCCAGGAGGGGGCTCAGGCTACGAAGCTAGACGGACCCTCTAGAGAGACCAAAGCTCCGAAGCGGGGCTGGACGGAGCACCAGCCAGGCAGCGGACGGCGGCGGCGGACGGGGCCGGTGGGGGACTCAGCGTAAGCGACCACGGTCGGGCCTCGGGGCCGCGCGGAGGGGACAGGGCGCTGAAGGCCAGGGCGCAAGACGGGTCCCGAGGCGGCCGCGGCCGCGGGAGCCTCACCGTGTCCTTGGACGAACCCAGCTTCTTGAGGCCGTCCAGGGGCAGCAGGTCCGCGGAGTCCTTGTGGATAAACTGCACCGCCTGCTTCATCCGGCGCTGCTGCCTCAGCGACGCCGCCTCCCGCATGTCCGTGTCTTTGCGGCCGCCCTCGGTGAGGAGCCCTGAGTAAAACATCGCTGAGGCGGCCGCGGCCCGGCGGCCCCGTGGCTACCGCGGGCTCCCGGCGTACTCGGCCTCGAGCTCCTTCAGCACCGCTTGGGCTGCGCGCCGCGTCTTTTATAGCCGAGCGTGACGTCACGGGCCGCAGCCAGTGCGCGCGCAGGGGGGCGGGGCCAGCACGGCGCTGGAGCAGGCGTAGCGCCCGCCCTCCCCCCCCCCCCCGGCGCGCCTCTCCGCGGGGTGCTGCGTCCGCTGCCCACCACCGCACTACCTACCCCGGGGGGGGGGGGGGAAAGCCACCGAGGAGGGGACCGCGCCGGTGGGCCTGACCCCGGAGGACCGAGGATCAGCCGCGGCCGTTTACCCAGCTGTCTGCCCCGCATCCTGGGATGGGTTTAGATCCCAATGCTCCGGCAGCCTCTTCCACCCCGGCCGCCACCCTGGGTTTCCCATTCACCTGTCCACGCCGTGGCCGAGCCAGGGCCCACTGACAGCTGGGTCATGCCAGGAGTCCAGTCGCTGCACCGCTGCTCGTCCGAGTCCGAGAGCCCGGGTACCGAGCGAGGCCTGAACACTCCCAAGTTGGGAGAGCTCAGGATTTCTCCAACTTCAGGTTGGTCCCCACCCATAGGGCCATGTGACCACGGAGGGGGCAGCCCGATCGGGCAGGTTGGAGTGGGCCTTCCGGGGACCCTCCTCCTCCTCCTCCTGGCACCTCTGCCATAAGCCCATCACCCGTGCATCCTAGCCAAGGAGGCAGGTCTGTAGAAAGCCTGAGGATCTGCCTTGTGTTGGGGAGGGAATTCCCGCCTTGGGAATGCTCGAGATAGCTCTACCTACCTCCTCTTTGGAACAGCGATAGACCAAATGTGTCTGGGTTGTTTTTCTCAGCAAAGGCTAGGGGCTTTTGGTCGGGTCTGTTTGTCGCGGGGTGGGGGGGGGGGGGAGGAGGAGGAAGGAGTTCACCTGTCTCTCCAGCAATTAATTGTTCTCATGGGAACAATTGGAATTCATTTTTTTCTTCGTGAATCAATCATACTTTCAATCCATTTCCGAAGGAGCCTTCGGACATTCTGGGTCCTGATCCTAACGTTACAACTTGGTACAAATTACTTTTCCACCCTGGAAACCACCAGAAATACTCTCTATCCTCACTCACAGAACTGGGCACTGATCAGAAGGAGCTGCACCCTGACAAGTAATAATAAAAGTAACAATGCCAATGTGTATTGAATCCTTACTATGAGCCAGGTCCTGGAACAAATACTTTAAATGTAGTATCTCGCTGGATATTGGCATCAGCTTGTGAGACAGTATTATCAAACCCCTCAATTTCCAGGCAAATGCCTGAAACCTCCTAAAGGGCTTCTAGCTGACCTGGATGCCCCTTCTATGCATCCGTTGTTCACCAGGCTATCAGAGTCATCTTCTCAAACTGCAAGTGCTATGGTCCCCTCTTCCAGCTAAGAGCTCCTCAGAAGGCACTGGAGGGACATTCTTGTGCCCTCACCCTCCCTGGCACCCTGAACTTCAGCCTTATGAGCATTCTTCCAGTTCCATGTAGGAGCCATTCCCCCTCTTGTGAAATGACTTGCCTTTGAATTTGCTTCATTTGGAATGCTTCTTCCTACTCTCTTCAGACCTCAATTGGGTATCATTTATTTAACAGAGCCACCTCTAACCTTAGAATTAATGCACCTTGATTATGCTTGTATCTCTCTGGGATGTGTGTGTGTGAATTGTTTGATCAATATTTTTCTCCTCCATGATTGCAAACTCCAAGAAGGCAACAAAGTTCCATTTTTTTTTTTGCTTATTCTTGAATCCCTAACACATAGAAGTTTGCCAATAAATACTAGTAGATTTTGGCAAAAGTTAAGGCTGTGTGTAATAAAAGCAAGCATTAGAGCCCTTAGAACTTGTGCTGGACTTGGCAGCTCTGGGAGAGCTCTGTTTGATTTCACGAACCTGCTTCTCAACTTCTGCTTCCTTCATTATGCCCCAGTCTACCTCAGAGAGCACGCTATTATGGGAAAATGAATCCAGAAGACTTCTCACCTGGTTTCAGGATAGCCCCAGGGGCTGGAGTCCTCCTCTGTCCTTCCCTGTATGGAGGGCAGGGGTCTCGAGAAAATGGGTGGGATTGGTGCCCATCTTCCAGGCCCTGGCATACCTCCAGTAGTGAACAACAGTGGCTGTCCTGGATCCTAGTGTCCCATTGCCTGGATCCCTGCCTGGTTGCTCTTTCAGGTGGGTTGCCCAGGGAACCATGAAAAACAGCTTTGCCTTGTCTCTCTAGGACAGGTGTCTTGAGGTTGGCAAAGCATCAAGGCCTGGTCCTCACTGGGCTAGGACAACTACTTCCCTCAGGGAGGGAACCAGGGAGGTAGTATCTCAGGAGGGAGAGGGAAGGGAAGTGCAAGAGGATATTGGGAGAAGGTGGAGAGTTAGAATCTGTGCTGCAGCTTAACTCAATCTGAAGCGTTTTTTTTGTAAGGATGTCCTGACAGAAGAAAGGGACTCTTCATAACTAGAGCCCCTGGGAACACCAGGAAGCTGAATCTCGCTGGTCAAACTGGAATGTGGCCATATCAGGTGTTGTTGAAAAGTAAATGGGGCCTGGCTGAGCTGGAAACCTTTTTCATGAATTCGGAACTCTGTGCTATTGTGGGTTTGTGTTCTGCAATCAGATCTGAGGCCACAATACTAGTTAGTCCCCTCACCTGTCAGAGGCCTTCCTTACCAGGATGGTACCTGGACTTCCCTAAATTGTGGGTCAAAATGGGCCTACTTGAGCATGCACATGCATATGCAAACATACACACACAAACACACTTCCTGCAGACTGTAGAGTGGCTGCTTGGCTTAAGGAGGGTCACTTCTGGATAGTATACCAACTTACTCAAATGACTGAGCAAGTCCCTTCCTACTTTTTTTGCAGGGGAGGCGGGGGACTCAGTCATGGGACTTGAACTCTGGGCCTGGGCACTGTCCTTCAGTTCTTCAGCTCAAGGCTAGTGCTCTACCACTTGAGCCATAGCGCCACTTCCGGTTTTCTGAGTGGTTTATTGGAGATAAGAGTCTCACGGCCTTTCCTGCCAGGGCTGGCTTTGAGTTGCAACCCTCAGATCTCACCCTCCTGAGTAGCTAGGATTACAGGTGTGAGCCACTGGCACCCGGCTTCCTTCCTACTTTTGAACCTCAGTTTCTATATCTCTAAAATGCATTAGTAAAAGTGCATATTCAGTTATGCTTTGTAAATTCTTAAGGGCTACACCAATTAAAATAATTATTATTCTCTCTGAGGACTGGTGGCTTACACCTGTAATCCTAGCTACTCAGGGGGCTGAGATTTGAGAACTGAAGTTCAAAGCCAGCCAAATTAACCACTAAAATGTCAGAAGTGGAGCTGTTGCTGTAGAGGTAGAGCACTGGTCTTAAGCAATAAAGCTCAGGAACAGTGCCCAGCCTCTGAGTTCAAGTCCCAGTACCAGCATGCGTACACACACATGTACACACACATATACACAAACACACACACATGATTATTATCCTCCATGTGGCTGAACTCACCATCATTGAACCATCATGGAGGAAGTCTAGTTATAAGCAAACATTGTGGAGTCCTGTGTATTAGGTTTAAATCTTTCTCTGCCACTTACTAGCTATGGGATTTCACCACAATTCCATTCAATTTCTCAGCTAGAAAATAGTGCCAGTATCATCTTTAACTATCAGGCTGCTGTGAGGATTAAATGAAATAATCCACATAGCACATAGGCAGCATAACTTGGGGCAGCCTCAGAAAAACACATATATTTGTATGCTACCAAAGAAAAGCTGGTCTGTGTTTCCCTTACAAGTCAGACCTCAGCATTTTCCTCAGTCTCTGGGGCTGAGGCTTCCTGAGGCAGGGGCCAACCATTTCTTTTCCTCTCCTCAATGCCTCCAGTATTTAGATTTACTGTCAGGTAGCTCCATTCTAAAGGTCCTGCATTCTACTTTAGCTGTTGTAGATGGTTCATGCTTTAAAATCACACTAGATAATCCCGTGCTATTTCAGTTAGGGTTGTTTTCTCCTCTTCTTCTTCTTCCTCTATTTCATCTTCCTCCTCCTCCTCCTCTTGCTCATTTTCCTGCTCCTCTTCCTTTTCAGTACTGAGGTTTAAACTCAGAGCTTAGTGCTTGCTAAGTAGGCACCCTACAGGTCCATAGACATTTTTGCTCTGGTTAATTTTTGAGATAGGGTGTTACTTTTTACCCTGGCTGCCTGGAGCTTGATTTTCCTATTTATGCTTCCTATAATAATTGGGATAACAGGTAAACACCATTATGCCCAGCTATTGATTGAAATGAATTCTTTGCCTTGACTAGTCTTAAATGTAGATAGGATTAAAGGTGTGAACACCTTAGTTTTTTTTCCTTTTCCTTTCTATCTCTCTTTTTCCTTCCTTCCTTCTTTCCTTCCTTCCTTCCTTTCTTCCTTCCTTCCTTCCTTCCTTCCTTCCTTCCTTCTCTTTCTTCCTTTTTGCTTGTGTATGCCAATCCTGGGGCCTGGACTCAGGGACTAAGCACTGTCCCTGAGCTTTTCTGCTCAAGGCTAGCACTCTACCACTTGAGCCACAGCTCCACTTCCAGTTTTCTGATGGTTAGTTGGAGATAAGACTCATGGACTTATCTGCCCAGTCTGGCTTTGAACCTCAACCCTTAGATTTCAGCCTTCTGAGTACTTAGGATTACAGGCATTAGCTACCAATGCCCAGCTCATGTTATTTCTTATACAGGACAAAAACCCAATTACAAATTTCTTAAGCATAAATGTAAATTTTTGGTTCTGTTTATTAAAATGTGCAGTGGCACTGGCTAGATCCAAGGATTCAAATGGTGTCCCTGTGTCTCAGCTCTGTTTGCTTCTGAGCTGAGTTCCTAATAGGCAAGCTCTTCCTCTCTTATAGCTGTCGGCAACTCTGGGCTTACAACTCCTTGTCTTGGAAACCCTCCATTGTGTTATATTTGAGCTAAAGAGCTATGCCCTTGGCCATACCTGGGAAGGTAAAATGATCATTCCTTGGAGCTCACTGACA